ATTTAAAGAAAAATTACATTTTTATGATATCAATCTAATCACAAAAATGTAGTACATCTATTTATTTTGATATTATTTTAATTATGTCATTTATAAATTCCCTCCATAAATACTTTCTCATCTGTTATTAGGTACTTTGTAGATTTATTACTATTATAAGTGATATTTTAGTTACATTTGCTAATTTGTTATGTGTGGTATGAAAACAGTATTAATATTTATATCTTTATTTTGTATGTAGTAATTTTACCAAATTCTAATTTCAATTCTATTAATGTATCTATAGATTCTGTAGATTTGTCTCTAAATTTGTCTTTTCCTTTCCAATATTTATACTTCTCACTCTTCTCTTCTTATCTTATTGCACTGACTATGACCGCCTATATGATGTTGAAGTGTATAATGTTGTATGGCAAGACAAGTGGCCTGAAGTTATAATATATGCAGATTTATGTGCACTAGGTAATGGCCTAGAAGTCTGATCAGGAACATGTTAGAAGAAAGATTCGAAAAATAGGGACATGAAAGTCTGCTGTAGAAGCAAGTTAATGCATATATGAGTGGGCACAAAATATAAACATATTTGTATTATATGTGTTATGGTTTGAATGATGGCATAATCTCCAAAATTCATGTTGAAACTTAATTCTTAATGCAACTTAAGAGGTATGGCCCTTGGGAGCTGATTAAGTCATTACAGCTTTGCCCTCATGGATGGGATTAGAACCATTACAAAAGCAATCAAGGTTGAAGGGAGCACTCTCTTACCCTTTGGTCCCTTCCACCATATGAGGACACCTAGACAGCATCATCTAGGAACAGGCCTGACACTGAACATGGTGGTTCTTTTATATTGGCCTTCCCAGCCTCCAGAACTGTGAAAAATAAATACATTTCTATTGTTTATAAATACTCAGTCTCTGGTATTTTGTTATAGCAGCACACATGGACTAAGACAACATGTTAGTACCTACCAGAAAGCATGCAGCATGGAAAGACACTGAACAATCAAGTCGACAAAATGACTAGGCCAGCTGCTATCAATCAGCTTCTGTCATTGTGCATTCTAGTACTGGCAATATGGTACTATAGTTTGGATGTTTGTCCCCCCACACCTCATGCTGAAATTTGATCCCCAATGTTGGAAGTGGAGTCTAATGGGAGGTGTTTGGGTCATAGGAACAGATCCCTCATGAATGGTTTCATGCCATCCTAGTGGTAATGAGTGAGCTTTCACTCTATTACTTCCTGTGAGAGCTGGTTGTTAAAAAGAGCCTGGCACCTCTCTCCCATCTCTCTCTCACTTCTCTTCTCACCAAGTGATTTTTATACACACCAGCTTCCCTTCATTTTCTGCCATGAATGGAAACAGCCTGAGGCCCTGACCAGAAGCAGATGCTGGCGCTATCCTTGCTATCCTTCCTGTACAGCCTGCAGAACTGTGAGCCAAATAAACCTTTGCTCTTTATAAATTACTCAGTCTCACATATTCCTTTACAGCAACACAAATGGACTGAGACATATAGGCACATGAATAAGATAGCCATGTAGCAGACATGGGAGCTCTTCATGGATCCGATAGCATAGGCTTCCACTTACCATGACCGACCTAGTTACTGCCACTGCCAAATATCTACACTGTAAGAAACAGGCACCAAAGTTGGGCCTTCAATATGGGCACAATTCCTTAAAGATAAAAACTGGTCATTTGAAGGCAAGTTGACTACAGTGGGCCTTTATACTCTGGAAGGGCCAGTGACTTTTCGGCCAAGGATAGATAAATATTTTGCTTTTCCTACCTACAGGGCCTCATCCAATACAGTCAGCTCTCCATATCCATGGGTTCCACATCCATGAATTCAACTAAACATGGATCAAAAATATTTGGAAAAAAGATTGCATCTGTACAGAACATTTATAGACTTTTTCTTGCCATTATTCCCTAAACAATACAATATAACAACTATTTACATAGCATTTACATTGTATTAAGTATTATAAATAATATAGAGATCATTGAAAGTATACTGGAGGGTGTCTATAGGTTATATGCAAATACTGTGCCATTTTATATCAGGAAGTTGAGCATCCATGGATTTGGCATTCTCAGGAGGTTCTGGAACTAATCACTCCTGGATACCAAGGGACAACTGTACTACCATCCAAAGACATATGAAGCACGAGACCTTATATAACATTGTATAAGTCAATAGGACCCATTTTACAGCAAAAGAAGTATAAAAGTAGGCCTATGACCATGAGATTCACTGATCATAAGACATATACAGATGCTCCTTGACTTAGGATGTGGTTATGTCCCAATAAACCCATTTTAAGTTGAAAATATTGTAAGTCAAAAATGCATTTAATACACCTAACCTACTGAACATCACAGCTTAGCCTGGCCTATGCCAAACATGCTCAGAACACTTACATTAATATTAGCCTACATTTGGGGAAAATCATCTAACACAAAACTATTTTATAACTAAGTGTTGCATATCTCATGTACTTTATTGAATACTGTACTGAAAGTGCAAAATAGAATGGTTTCACACCATCATGAAGTCAAAAAAATCATAAGTTGAACTACCATAAGTTAGGGTCCATTTGAAGTAGTAGCACTTAGAAGCTGGTGTCATGAAAGAGGATTGGGAAGACTTGATGAAGGCTTACCTGGAGTGATACTTTATAAAAATGGATTCCTTCTTCCAAAGTACAGTATACTAACTTTAATCAGAGATCTATATATGATAGTGTGTCCCCAGTAGAATTAACTCATGGGTTGGGGAAGCAATGGATAGAAACAGGAGTATCCACACTCACATTACTCTCAATGACCCGCTGGGAGATTTTGATTCCTGTCCTTACAATTCTAGGCTTTGTAGCCATATAGGTCTAGATCACCAAAGGGCAAACATTTCTACCTCAAAAGCAAGTAAGATTCCTATTGAACTATAAGCTGTATATGCTGTGTGGACAATTCAGGATCTTCAGGGAATAGCAGCCGAGAAAAGGAATCATCATCTGTGTGGCCATCCTACAAACACAGGATGGACTCCCTTCCAAAATTTGGTTCAGATGTCAAGACTGATGACACCACACATAAACTAATAGAGTGTTGATGTTTTATTATGTACATAATGAGAGATTTTCAGGAGAGCAGGACAGGTCTCCTAAGCTGGTGCAAAAATGGCTTGAGAGAGTAAGGAAAGGAAACAGGCTTGGAGTGTTATGATTGTTAGTGTTGAGGCCACTGTGAAGGTTCTTTCATGTAGGCAGAAGCTTGCTAGGTTTGACCTTCCCATCAGCACAGAAGAAGGGAATACCCTGGCATTCTTTTCAGCTTTCCAACTGTGGGACACAAGGGAAAGAGACAGAGATAAGAGTTAAAAGATGTCAAACATCAAAAAATGGAGTTAGACTCTTTATTACATCATTTAGACAGGGTAACTGACCCCAATCATCAGGAGGAGGAAGAGATGTTGTTACACAATGGGGAAAGCAGAATATATTTGATACACTAGTGATCCACATGGGTGTCTCTGGGTACTCCCTTGCCTAACTTTGATGAGAAATGGACATATGAAGTAACCTTGGTCAGAGAAGAGTACGGTAACCAGTGGCTCAATACTTGTCATGGATGTGGTTTTCAGTCATGTCATGAGGTGAGCCATGGAGACCAGTTGAGGGGAAGCGGAATCTAGAATAGGTAGTGGAGAAGGGAGATGAAAAGTATCAGCTGTGACACTGAGACCAGCTGCAGGAGCAGAAGCTATAGATCATTCTATCAGTATTTTTCTTCTAAGCTTTTTCCCAGGAAGATTCACCAGAGCTCTCTCTGGAGAAGCTGCCTTATATACTTACATGAAGTAGATTTTAGCAGCACAAGAAGTTGACCATGTTGGACATGGAGGTATGCCATACAAATTTCTCTTCAAGAAAGAGCTTGTTCTAAATGTTAGGAGTCCTGTCCATAGGACAGGACTCCTTTAGTCCTTCAGGGACTGCCTCAGTTGCAGATGTCTTGCTCTAGATCATGCCCTTTTCTGGTCAGTTCATATTCAATGACAGATCAAAGTAAATGTGTTATGGCCCAGCCATTTTGATCTAATGAAGAACAACTATAACTGGCCATTTTAGCTCGAGGTTTCCTTTTGCAGTCAGTCAAGGCTGTTGCTGTTTGGGCCTGCATTTCAACTTGACTTCTGCCTATGCCCAATTTTGTTACCTTCCCTTCTAGAGGCATCAATCTCAAGGACATTCCCTAATAAACATCCTATACAATAAACTCTGTTTCAGGGTCTGCTTCCTAGAGAGTCAAACTTGCAACATACCCACTACTGCTACCAATTTCTGTATAACTTGGAGTAAGGCTAGTGTTATAGACTGAACATATGTGTACTCCTAATATTCATATGTTGAAGCTGAAGCCCTAACCCCTAGAGTGACTGTATTTGGAGTAAGGTAGTAATTAATGAGATTGTAAGAGTGGAGTTCTTATATGATATGATTAGTGTCCTTATAAGAAGAAATACCAGAAAGCTATCTACTTCTCTCTCTCTCTCTCTCTCTGTCTCCCTCCCTCTCCCTTTCCCTCTCCCTCTTTCTCCCTCTTTCCCTCCACTCACTGAGGAAAGGCCATGGAAGAACACAGTGAGAAAGTGGTCTACAAGCCAAGAGTCCTCACCAGAAACAGAATTTGCCAGAACCTCAATACACATCGAATAACAACTCCCAATTTTCCCCTCCCATAGGCCCTAGCAACTACCACTCTGCTCTCTGCTTTTATGAGTTTGACTAATTTAGATACCTCATATAAGTGGAATAATACAGTATTTGTACTTCTGTAACTGGCTTATTTATCATAATGAGCCACTCATTGACTCTGTAAATATCCAGCCACAGGATTGGCCTCTTCCACAGCCAATGCAGTTCGTCCAGGGTTCAGTCTCCACCCTTGCACAAGAGAAAGCAAGTCCAAGCTCACACCAATCACATCAGGCTATATTATTCATTTATTTCCCATTGCAATATGTACATGCAATCAGCCAACGGCCTCTTTCCTAACTACATTTCTGTTGGGTCCACAACTTTCCCTAGAAAGAGAATGCTCCTGGTGCTTTTCTCCAAAATCATCAGCATGAAGGATCTATCAAATCGGATAATAGGGTGAAGGAGTGGTTTTTCAGGCTGATCCAGAAGTCTGACTTCAGGGACAGCTACAGCTTCTGTTCCCTTTTCACCAATGTGGAGCACAGCCTTGTGGGCAGCCTGTGGGGAGGAAACAAACACTGACAGTCCCCGGAACAAATAGGAACAGTCTTTGGGAGGAGCTGGAAGAAAGGAAGAATGGGGGCCACCCCTTTGCTATACTGTGTGGCTGCTTGGCTGAGTGCAGTTAATAAATCTCTGGTGATTTTAGTGCTAGCTTTTAGGGAACCACCTCATTCTTCAGAGCCTTCTGCTTCTAGTAATCACCTCCTAAGCACACTCCCCACCTCCTCCAAAACCTCATCTCACCAGAGTCACTTTTGATCATTAAACTCTTCCATCAGCATCATTTTAGGACATGAAGGTCAAGGATGAAAGAAACTGCTACAATAACTTATTTGGGGTAATGGGTAATGACCCTGGAGTGATTCTAGCTTAGGAGGAGTCACACAGCTTCTCTAGGCATCAGAGTCCTCATTAGTAAAATAAGAGAGTTGAATTAATTGACTTCCAATGGCACTTCCAACTCATACATTCAAGGACTCTAATCTACTAACTTACACTGGAAAGTTTGAGACCATTGTCCTCTGTGAGTCCAGAAAAATTAGCATCTTCTTCATAGGCATCCTGCATGCCCATTTTCAGAAGCATGGCTCCAAGGTCATAAGTGGCAGAAATGGAAAACTTTGGAACAAACAAGTCAACCCACCTGTGAGGAAAGAAGAAGGGGACACATGGCAATCATCATACCAAGCTCATGATTCCCTCCTTCTCTCTCAACATGGTATTATATTGGACTCTACTTCTCCCCTGAGTATTGGCAACCCCAAAATCACAGAAACTATTCTAAAAGGAACACACTCTGGTTCAGCCAATGTTATGCTGTTACACTGGTAGTAGGGAGATGTAACTTTCTTATAATCAAAAGAATACATCTCTAGGGTGATGGCCAAGGTTGGGGAGCCAGTGGCAAGAATGTCAATGGGTAGCACTCAGGAACTTCATGGTTTTCCATCTTGTGCTACCAGTCCAGAACTGTTGCCCACCCACCTTTTGACATCAAAATCCCAAACATCCCCTAAGCTCTAGTTGATCTCTGGGAAGGCATCAATTTACTAGCAGGATGACTTTGGAGAGCTTATTTTATCTTTCGAGGCATTACTTCCTAATTTGAAAAATACCAATGTACCACCTTCTTTGTGGGTTTGTTGATGTGCTTAGATGAAACAAAGTGTGCAAAGTGTCTGACAAAGAGCCTGGCACATGGTATGTTCTTGACATATTCTAGGGATCATCACATAGCTGTTAGGTGGTTCAGGGTGATCCTTCTGCCTCCAGATCTTTGCTGAACTAGGTCTCACCTGCACTGTTAGGCTCACACGCTCCACCTCTCACATGGTCTGAGACATTTACCCCTTCTGCAGCAAGCGATTCCACTTCTTCAGTATTTTAGATGACATAGCTGCTTCTATCCACTCCATCTGTCCCTGCTTGGGAAGGACAAAGAGTGCCAGAGCATTCTTGCTGTAATCCATTTGCAGCACTGTACAGTTCAGTTCCATATCCACCAGGTGATAGTACTGTTCCACCTGGTGCATCATGGGCACTTGCACCATGGTGGTCTTGTCCACTAAGAAGCTGGATCTGTCTTCTGTCTTGGATGGATCAAAAGGTTTTGCCCACTGGGCTTAAAATACAGAGAGAAGAGAAGTGTTTGTTTTAAATAGTATTGGTACCAACAAGAACGTTTTCATTAGTCATCTCATCTAGTAATTAAGACCACCAGAGTTAAGTACCTATAGTTGACCAATGTTACAAGTAACTGAGGATCAGGAAGAGAAAGTCATTTGACATGCTCTCCCAGCTATCAGGTGGCAGAGCCAGGAGTCACACCTATGACTGTTGGGCGCCATGGTCTGTTTTCAAAACCACCATATTTACACTAAACCCAGCAGAGCCACAGTTTTCTCATCCATAAAAAGTAAGGCATCCAACACATAGGTAAAATGAGACAACAGATATGTTTTGCCATCTTAGCCATCTATATGTGCGTGGCTTGTGGCCACCAAATGTTCACTCCTCCACGGAATGTGCTGTAGAACCAGGAGAAATAATTTAAGCACAGCACCTTCAGAAAAGAGTCACACGATTCTTGCTGTTACAAGTACCAGCCTTAGAGTCAGACAGACTTGGCTGGGAATACTAATTCCTAAACTTATTAACTGTGAACATGGGCACTTGTAAAGATTGAATAAGACAATGTGTAAAGCACACATGTAGTACAGTACATAGTGAGTCATAATACATGATAAAAGTATTTATGTAACATGCCTAAGTGTGCACAGCAAGTGAGGGTCACGATAGGGTTTAAATACATGTATGTCCATTTGCCAAGTACAAGCTTATCCCATCTCACCAAGTTTTTTGGAAACCATTATTCTTTAACCAAATATGAGCAAGATGTTCAAACCATTGTCACCCACCTCTCTGAAAGTGCGCTCTCCCTAGAAATTTCCTGGGCTCATTCATAGAGCTGTGTGTTCTTCCTGGAAGATCCAATACTATGCACAGCTATGTCCAATGGAGCAGATCACTGTGGCATGAGGGACACCTACTGATGCCAGTAATAAGAGACCATGAGCTCCCCCCAGCGCTCCACCAAAGTATCTGAACCCTAGACTTGAAACTGATCTCAAAGCCTTACCTTTCAAGTGAATATAGTTCACCAGGACCATGATGGTATTTGGGTTGAGGTCTTGGATTAGGCCCACAACGTCCCCTTTGGTTTGCTTCTCCACATAACTGTTGATCTCCTGCTTGGCTGTAGAAACATCGGAGAAGTCGGTAGAAAAGACATCAGTCTCATAGAGGGTCTTGACATCATCCAAGAACTTTGCCAGTGGTTTCAGCTGCTTCCCAATGAAGAGAGCATTTCCCATCTGCAATTCCAGTTCCTTCTTTGGAAAATTCACTGAACAGATCAGATGCTGGAAGCCATGCTGGATTTCTGCCAGTGGAGTGTCTGTGAGGTTGAACCCTAAGACCTCCAGGATCTGAGTTTGGGTGCTGGAACAGGACCCAAAGGAAAGCATGGCCAAAGCTGTAGAAATGCTCACAGGGGAAAAGAAGATGTTCCGATCTGGGGTCTCCAGAGTAAACCTCCGGTACAGGTTGAATGCAAAGTCAGCATTGATGGATGACATCTTATAGAGAGTAGCATTTTGTTGAGGTGAATGGCAGGTGGTTACTTTGCCTTCTGAGCTGTTAGGCGGTGCACAATGGATTGTAACATGAAGCCCAAGTACCAAGAGAATCAGATAGAGGAACAGTGACATTTTGGAAGGAAGATAATCTATAAGAGATGAAGTGAGAGAACCATTGGTGGAGCTTAGTTGGATGAAACACTATCTGAGCCAGAGACACAAAATAATTTCCCACCTCACTTTAATTAATAAAACAATAGTAAATATTTGATTATGTGCTCACCAGGAGCTAGGTGGAGATTTCTCTTTTCTGAAAATCTGATGATGCATCTAATGTGGGCAGGAAGTAGAAGTGGCTTTCTGGGGCCACAGAAATATGCCATGGACTCTCATTCAGATGTAATAGTGACATTATGAAAATGCTGTGAGTAAATTAAATTTATGGAAATTGAATCACCTTTTATTTGAACTAGATGCAGCTTTTGGAGAGGGAGGAATCCCTAGGTAAAACCAGTACTCCCTCTGCTTACATTATTCTTTGTTGATTAGAATTTTGGACTGTATTTTTTTAAATTGGGGATTTTCTTAAGATAAAAATCTATGAAATGAGTTGAGAGAACATCTGCACTTTCTTTGGCTAAAAGACAAAATGAGAATTCTGTGTACAAGATATGATTAATTGGAATGGATTGGTGGTGGTTTGTGGAGTTGTGTGCAAGGTCATAACCTGCAATTTATGCATTTTTGCAATGCACGGAAGCCACAGGAGTATTTTCAAATATCAGGAAAATGAAAGCATAACTTTCTACATTTTCGATCTCTCTCACCATCCATCGTAGTAACATTTAAAGAGTCATTTCTAAGTTGTATAACATCTTAACACTATATTCTTACACCCATACATGTTACTTTTAATTATTAGAGAGGAAGCCAGAAAGATATGATGTAAGGTTCTCTGAGCCTGAAAGTATAAGGAAAGAGAGCAAGGAGTTTAGCTGTGGAACTCCAATGACCATGGGCATGAGTGGTTAGAGAGAAGTGATCTATAGAGTCAAGACAAGGCTCCTTCCTCAGCCCTCCATCTTTTTTCTGTAGCAATCTCATCCTAGGCACTCAATTGCTGCCTCGCAAACTATATATCCCTAGTCCAGATTGCTCTTCTGATTTCCTAGCCATTTATCCTGTTTATTGGATATATCCACCAGGATGGTCCACACATACCTCAGTCTCAATAAGGAAATCTCAAAGTTTCCAAATGTAAGCACATTTTTTTTCTCTACCCCTCAAGCCTGCTCCTTCATTTCCATTTTACTTTTCAGTCTATTGCATCTCTATCTATGGAGATGTTCATGCCAGTAACCTGGAAGTCATCCTTAGGGCTTCCTTCATTCTCATTCCCCACATCTAATGAGTCTTGAATACTATCTCCTAAATACCTCTAAAAACTTCTCCCTTCTGTCCATGCTTACTGCCACTGCCTCAGTTATGGCCTCAACTACTGCATTAGCTCCTAGCAGGTCACACCGTCTCTTCTATCCTTCACCCCAACCTCCCTTCTTTCATCACTAAATCTAATCTCTATATTGCCACCAGAGTCCTCTTTCTTTAAATGTCACCGAGGCTGGTAGAAGATCAATTATCGGATGACCACACTTAGACCTTGGCCCCTGGAGCTACAAATTTGGTTTGGGACTCTGACTTGCTGACTTGGTTATTTGGGACTCTAACTTGCTGATAGAGATGTTCAAAGTTCCCCAAAGAGAAAAAAAAAGTACTTACAGCATATGCCCAAGAAGCCACTTGCATCTCTCAGAAAGAAATACCTTTCCATTTTTATAACATGTCCTGTATTGCAAAACTAGAGCACTCTTAGTTACAGATTAACCCCAGCATTAACCCTGGGATATTTTCAAAGCTGATGTAAAAAACCAAGGCCAAGAGGAACAAAGCAAAAAATGATAAGATTTGAACTTTGGGTGATTGCTTTCACTGCCAGATCTGTCATCTAAAACAAAAGAGAAAGAGGACTGTCAGAGCTGGAGGGGTCCAGGTCCACGCTAGGAAAAAATGTCCTTTCAGCAGGCAGAATGAGGGTCGTGGGCAAAAGTGCCAAGAGGCAGCAGTAGAAAGTTCTTAGCATTAGCCAAAAAGTGATAGGGCTGGCTGCCTTTTGAGGGAAATGTGCACACAGTCAGAGGCTGGGTGAGCCTAATGGTTGCTGTCAAAATTATTTATGTGTTGGCAGAGGAAATGATGTCAAGGGTAGCTTCAAGCACCAGACTTCTGATGCTGCACACATATATGTCTGCTCAGGGGAAAAACCAGTCTTATCTTTTGGTCACTACAATCCCCTGTACCCTCTCCTTGCCAAAGGACTCTGAAAGAGGATGCAGAAGGAGCCAAGGAGATCAGAATCAAAGATTGCACTGTCTAGTATTAACCATGTACTGACTATGTTCAAAGAAGCAAGGAGAACAAAGAGAACTGGACTCAGAAGTCCTGCGTTCAACCTTCACTCTGCCAGTTTCTGGCTCTAGTAGTAGTAGTAGTAGTAGTAGTAGTAGTAGTAGTAGTAGTAGTAACAGCAACTTGTGCTTTTGAGAATTTACCATGTGAAGGTCATTCTGTGAAGCATCTGATTCCAGACACTGCTGGCCTCAGTACTACATTAAGAATGTATGTGTAGTGGGAGGTGGGCAGGGAACAGGGGATAATTTGAGCTGAGCCTAGATGCAGTCTATGATGGGACTTGGAAATCAGGATAAATAGTGCAGACTTTATCTTGAGGGCAGTGGGAAGTCACTGAGAGACTTTGACAAGGCAGTAGAGAAATGGTGATTCTGTGTACCACTGTTTCTTCTCAACCAAACATACACTGAACTCCTATTATGTAGAAAGCACCACACTAAACACTGGAGTTTCAGAGGTTAATGCTAAATATCAGTTCTGAATCCAAAGGATTTTTTAACTGGCACGCACTGCCCAAATTGAATAGAAGAGGGCACACCTCACATTTGGGATGGCCAATTGTCCATGTGTCCCAAAGAAAGACAGTGGCAAACTCAGGTCTCTAGACTGTGAGGTCAGTCCATGCTCAATCCTGCTAAGATGACACATTGTCTAGTCTCATCTATGGCAAATTTCTACAGATGAAACAGAAGAAAAGACTATCTAAAAAGACAATTTCCAAACCTGTGCCCTCTGGTGGCATGGTCGGACAATGGCACAGGTTGCTTTCTGCTGCTTTTAATTCAGCTGAGCTTTGCTAGCAGGTAGTAACTGCAGGGCTTGTCTCTGACATATGAGAAAGGCACCCTTCCCCCTGCAGTCTCCCCTGTCCTCTGGCATCACAGGCATTAGACCTGTGCTTCTGTCATTCTACTATGTAAACTGTGCAATTTGGGGCAAGTTACCTAATATCCCTGAACCTCAGTTTTCTCATCTTCAAAATGAGAAATCCCCACATCGTGTAGTTAGTGGGAGTATCACATGAAATTCAGAGAGGGTGTCCAGAGCTGCTATAGTAGTGCCCGGCAAGTAGTGAGGATCCAGCAACTGTTAATTCTCTTCCCTTTCGTGTGCTATCTTGATTCTCTTCCCTCACCTCAAGTCTCTGTGGTCCCTGGCTCCATCTCCAACCCCCACTGCTGTTCAGTGCATCTGCTTTCTGAAAATGCATGATAATTAATATGCAATTTATTGATAAGGTTTAAATTCTTCTTGCAAACTTATATTTAGCACAACACTTTCATTCTTGTGTAAAGCTGCTAGAGCTAGCACACTCAACAAAGACTCTCTAGGAAGTGTTACTGTATCAACAGATTCAATCAAATCTAAAATTATGTATTTCCTTCTTTGGATGAACACTGTCATAATCCACTCCTACACAAATTCCCCAGAATTTTATTTTTAAAATGTTCAAAGTTACATGGTTCTTTTAGTGTATAAACACTCTTCTCATTGTTTTGACTTGATATTTGATCCTCCACCCCAGTCTTAGGGAATATGATGCAATCTTACTCTACTTATAGGTTAGAAGACAATGATAGGTGTGGGACAGGGGCATTAGGAAAATTGGCTTCTTCTTACAATTTATGTCTCACAGACAGGGATCTTTAAGGAAAAGAGAAACAGCCTCATCAGACAAAGAGGACTAGTAAGGGTACTAGGACTTCCCTTCTGCTAGTAAGGGAAATTCAGTAGGCATTTGAGGTTGAGGTTTCTTTTAATTCTCCCAATTTTCCTGTTCTTGAGTTTTTACTCTTTCTATTTTGGTGAATAACTTTGACAAAAATGAGCTATCACTTTTAGGAAATCAACTCATTCTGGTAATTCACAGGATCAAATGCTGAGCATAGGATTTGGCCAAGTTAGCCCTCCAGCTACATTTCAAGAAATTCTATTTTCATGTTGTCTGGCTTCAGTATACTCCTTGAGCAGTTGAATCAAAACTTTAGAGTTTTCAGAATGTCATTCTTTTTCTAAGCTTTCTGGTGTTATCAAAAGCATCCACTTCACTCCATAATCTTTTAACTACTTACATCCTTCAGACTTCTCTATGACAGCAATTATGTCTTCCAAACACATGCCTTCGAAGGCCCTAAATTTCAGGGGCCACTTAATTAATTGATATGTCATTTCATTCCATGGGCTTCCATATCTCCTTCTAGAACACAAATGAAATTTTCAACTGCCTTTAGCCCTACTAGACCAGAATTGTGGAACTTTAAATTTCCACAATTTCCTTAAATATTGTTGCATGAAACTTAATTCCTGTTAACAATGCCAGTATCAGTTACAGCACTTGGCTTCAAACAATAGTAACTGCTGCTGAATAACCTTAACATAAAAGACATTTAATGGAGGATATGATTTTACCCAAAATTAAAAGGAGGGCCAGAGAACCTTGCTCATTTTGCTTGGAAGGAGACATGCGGACAGAAGGTGAATCTACCCTGGTTTATGAACATTGGTTAATGGTTTGGCTGGATGCCCCTTGGAAAGGACATGATCATAAAATAGATGATAAAGAAGTGTGGGGAAGAGGTATATGTGGTTACCTGTGCAAATGGGCATGGCATGTGAAGATATTCATGTTCTATGTGAATACTCACCAAAAAGCAACCTCAGCAAAGTACAATTTTAATAATCAGCCAGATAAAATGATGTATTCTATGGATGTCAGCCAGCCTCTTTCCCAGACACTCCTGTCTTTTTTCAGTGGGCTCATGAATAAAGTGGTCATGCCAACCAAGATGAAGTTTATGCATGGGCTCAGAATCATGGACCTCCACACATCAAGGTCAATCTGGCTACAGCTTCAGCAGATACCAAAACTGAGATTCCAATATGGTACCATTCCCCAGATGACTAGCAAGTTACCTGTTTTGAAATTGACTACATTGGACCACTTCCATCATGGAAGGGGAATTGTTTTGTTCTCAGGAGAATATGCAATGACTAGAAATGTGGCTTTGTTTTCCTTTCCTGCCAAGCTTGTGCCAAAACTACCATCCAAGGATTTACCAACTGCCTTATCTACCATCATGGTATACTACACAGAGTCCCTTCTGGCCAAATAACTATTTTCACACCAGAGTGTGGCAATGGGCCAATATTAATGAAATCCACTGGCCTTACCATGTTTTCTATCACCCTAAAGCAGTTGGCCAATAGAAAGTTGAATGGCTTTGATGAGTCAGTAACAGAACCAGCTAGGTGACATCATGAAGAGCTTAGCCATGTCCTCTACAATGTAGTACATGCTCCAAATCAGTGTCCAAAATATGGTGCTATTTCTCCCATAACCTGGAATCACAGATTAGGAGATCAAGGAGCAAAAATGGGTGTGGATCCACTCATCATTATTCCCCTACTGATCCACCAGGAAATTTCTTGCTTTCCCTCCCTGTGACCTAGGTCCTCCTGGTTTACAGGTCTTAATTCAAATGGCTGAATGCTTCTACTGTGGGATGCAAAAATAGTTTTACTGAATTTGTAAGTGAGATTGCCACCTGACCACTTTGGCAATTCATGACACTGAATAAATAGAAAAGGAAGAGAGCTACAGTACTTGGAGGGATAGTAAATCTTGAATAGCAAGAGGAAATTTCACTGCTACACAAAGTGAGAATCTGTAATCCAGATGTTCCCTAGGGATGTGCCTCTTAGTACTCCCATGTTTTTCGACTAAAGTCAATGGGAAATTATAGCAATCCATACAAGCAGTATCAATCATCATTCAGATACTCCAGAAATGAAGATTGGGTCACTTTACCAGGCAAGGAAGTTCAACCAGCTAAGATGTTTATTGAGGGGAAAGGGAGTATAGAATGGATTAGTGGAGGAAGGTAGTTAAAAACACCAATTATGACCTTGTGGCTAGTTACAAAACCCAATATTATAATAGTTATGAGTATTTGTTCTTCCCTAAATACAATTGCATCATGTCTCATCCTATCTAAAACCTGGATTAAAGAAAAAATATGAATTCTATCACAGTCAGCCATGGAATAAGTGCTTAAGCTCCATGCGCCTGGAAAAAAATAGACTCATCCAAAGCCAAATTAGAGGATTCATTCTAAAGGCCCAGGAGACTAATCAATAGCTTCTCTCTAATAATTCAATAATGGGACTGTCAAAGAACATGAAGTAACTAAGACTAAGGCATTCTAAAATAGTTAGGAGATTTCCAGAGGATTGCACTCATACCTGCTAAAGATCAACTATGGAATGTTCCAATAGGCTTACATAAATAATAGAAGTCAGTATCTGCTGGCCTCCATCATCTCTCAGCTAAGAGTACCCTAATTAACTAACCAATCAAAACAGGTT